GGATCGAACCCATTAGCGTGCTGGATCGAAAGAGGCATCTCATCCCTGGATCGAAAGCCATGACCTCCATGATCGAACGACAATCCTCTTCCCTGGATCGAAGGCTACTCACGCCTTACTGTCTGGCCCAATCGAAAGTCACCTCCATGATCAAAAGACAGTCCTCTTCCCCGGATCGAAGGCTAATCACGCCTTGCTGTTTGGCCCAATCGAAAGGACCATGACCCCTTCTGGATCGAAGCTTCTATTTCTCTCCCTGGGTCGAAACTCCCGTTTTCTCCTTGGATCGAAGGATTCTCCTAGAATTTTATTTTTGTTTTCATAGACTCCCTTTTAATTAACATTAAAATCAAAAAACCACAAAAACATTAGGCTAGTTCTTTTTCTATTAAATTAACTTTGTTAATTAACCTTTAATTATCTTAACGTTTTTTCCAAAACTAAAATTAAATAGATTTAGATTATTTTTCCCAAAATAAAATAAAACAACAAAAAGAGTTCTTATTCTTAGGATTTTTTTTTTTAGATTCACGCGCGTTTATTGTAACTGCTTACTGGGATGTAATAGCTTAACTAAGACCCTTTACTGCTTTTATTTCCCTAATTTTTGGACATGTAAATAATCCCCCTCCCCGCAAGCCTTGTAATAGCGTATGATTTATAATTCCCGCACTTTAAATTTTTGTACATATATTAACTGCTTAGATGTATGCTAACTAGGATTGTATGACAAGATCTGTCCTAATGTAAAATCAACAGTAGCTCACCATAACATGTATAAAGATAACATAAACTGAAAAATTGACACACTTGCACATGCCACTCCTAGAGTATACCTCATTTGGTTGCCTCGAATGTGGTCATTAAGTATAGGATGTTTTAGAGGTCGTCCTTTTGTCCCAAGATCATAAGTTGCCTCAAAATGGTTGCCTCGATAAAAAATGATCTAAGACATTAGGATTACCACTAAAGCGTCCTAATGTTGCTTTAGTGACCACAAGTCCCTTAAATCGAATTGACCCGAAAACTCCAACGACGGTGCTACCTACTCCTTAATAGTGGGATAACACTGTCTAAAGGATATTTGCACAATTAAATTCCTTTTTGAGTAGGTAGAGGTTCTTAAGTACTTGCTCCTTTTAAAAACAAAACAAAAACTTTTCGCACTTACACTTTCTTCAAAAACAAAATTCTTTTCAAAACCCACAATCACAAAGAAAAGCAAACCTTTTGAAAACATAGTGAGCAAGTACCTAAGAGCCCGTGGATAACCACGGATAGAAAGGGTGTTAACACCTTCCCTTTCTATAATCTACCTCCCGAACCCGAGAAACATCTCGAAAAGGAATTTTTCTGTGCTTTTGTCCTTTCCCTTGTTGGATAAAATAAAAGACGGTGGCGACTCTTGCTTACCGCGACACTTTGCGAAAACAAACGCAAACGCGAACCAGCATTCCAAAAACAGTCAGTTCTCATTCCCACCGATCACAACGTCTGATTTTTATCCTCCTTCTGGAGCCAAACTTTATCAGCCATCGTTTATTTCCAGTCAAGTGATTTGAACAACCTGTGTCCATGTACCACCGGTCTGTCAAACACCTTTCATAAGACTCAGAAGCCATTAATAGCACGTGTTCATCATTTGAATCCCCTCTACTGTATTTTCTTCTTCTGATTTTCTTCCCTTATTTGACCAATAATCTTTTGCAAAATGGCCAAACTGCTTACAACAATAACATTGAACCTTCTTCTTGTCAAACTTGTCCTTTTCCTTCTGAGGTTTCTTCTCATAAGAGGTAGAAGTTTCTGATTTTTGGAATCTATCACCGTGTCTATTCTTGGTTTCTGACCAAGAATGCTTCTAGTCCTTCTTGACAAAAGAAGCCTTCAGAGCCTGCTCAACTTCTCTCTCAGAAGTTCTTTCAGTCAAACGCAACTCATGCCCTCTAGACTGCTTTGCAGCTCTTCTATTCTCATGGTTTCTAGATCTTTAGAATGTTCAATTGCTACAAGAATGTAATCAAATTGAAGAATAAGTGACATCAATATCTTTTCAATAATTACTTGTTCAAAAAGGGTTCCTCCACAAGCCTTCATCTTATTAGTGATCAGAATCACTCTAGAGATGCACTCAGAAACCTTCTCATTATTCTTCATGTTGAGATTCTCATATTGCTTTTGCAGGGACTGAAGCTTCACCTTCTTCACTGATGAGTCACCACCATAACATCTGACCAGTATATCACACACGCTCTTTGACGTCGTCGAATCTACAATCTTCTCAAACACATTCTCATCCACACATTGATGGATGAAGAACAACGCCTTCTGATCTTTCTTTCTCTTGTCTCTGTGCGTTTCTCTGCTCTTCCATTGCATTTTCTGCAATTGGAGCATAACCTTCGGTAACAAGCTCAAGAACATCTTGAGCACCTAACAACACACACATCTGAATTATCCATCTGTTCCAGTTCTTGCCACTAAAAATAGGAAGTTTGGTACTCAGACTACCGCTTCCGTTCATCTTTAATCTTGTACAACTCACTCAAATCTCACAAGCACAGTGTTTCCCAACTCCACAAAATCAGAAAAAATATGATTTTGTTCAAAATCCAACACGAATCCAGAACCAAAATCAATCACACAAACGCCTCACATTTCACTTGTGTTTCCCTGTGGATCAAAACCGAAACTCTATATAACAATTGTTAGTGTACAAGAATCAATGATGAACAAAAAATAAATTTAAGAGAATAAAGAGAATGACGATTATAAAAGCTGCAAGAAGAATAAAATGTTATCGTTGTATTTATGACATTTACAACTAATTTATTTATACACAAAGAAACATAAATATCACATAAATTTTAATAGAATAGACTTAATAACTAAATTATAAAACAGTTAAAAATATTAAAATACCTTTTAATAAATATCGTACTTTGACTGGGTTGCTATCCATATTCAAGAAGATCCACGTCAGGTTTTTGTTTCTTCTTAGATAGTACATCTTTTGTATCTTGGAAATGCAAAAAAGTAAGAAACGAATTATTGTATATTGTTCATCATTTGAGGCTGATATAGGGCCCTAACAAATGCAATCGGTGAAGCTCAGTGTTTTTATTTATTTATTACATGATTTCCAACTTCCAAGTATGTCACGCACAACCGGTTATACTTCACTTTCACAACATTCCATATTTACCAAACCATCATAACATGGTCCCTAGAATCACTTGCTACATCTCCTAAACTTATACGTGCATTTCAGCTTAAAGGAGTGTTTTCTGAGTTAGTTTTTATATTGTGGTTTGTTTTTTTTATTTAGAGTTAGTTAGACATTTTTTTTGAGTTTGGATTTGCTCCATTTATTGGAATCAAGTTTCTATCCCGTTTGTTAAAGTGACGTGCGACACATGCCAAAAAGACATTTTAAAATAGAAAGAAGTAATTTTAAGGTTCTGTAGTTTATAAGAACAGGCTGTTTTGGAAAAGGTGTTTCAGTTTTGCCATTAACGTATGTTTTTCTTGTTAGTGACAAAACGTTAAAGATGCTTAAATCAATGCAAATGAGCCAATTTTCAGAATAGTTTTGTTGTCAATCAGTGACTCAACTTGGTGTTTATTTATGCTATAATCAAAATTAAAAGTTTAAAATTCAGATTCAAAATTAAAAGCTTAAAATTCTTTATAACTTCAAATTCAGAAAGCTTAAAATTTTATTAATTGCATGAAATCTTAAGACTGAAATCCAACAATATTAAAATCATTGCATCTTCTAGTATATTTGGTTCTAAAGAGATGAATAAGAAATTCGAACCCACCACAGAAACAAACCGACTATTATACGTATTTGAAGTAAAGTAAATCGATTAATCAAGCCAATCTGGTCAGATTCAATTATTTTTCAGTGTTAGATTTCCATTTTTTGCATAGCACTAGTCGTGGAAAGAAAGTGAAGTGTGTGAAGAGCAAAAATGAAGACAAATAAGAAATTATTATATGTACTTGGTGGTGTTGCAGGTCGTATCATTTAGATAAAAACAAAAAAGAAGAAAAATGAGATTCATGTCCAGATATGATTGGCTCAAGTTAGTGCCAAATTCCATCACTCAATTGGAGTTTTTCTAAACCACATAATTGATGAGCAAAATCAACATTTGAGAGTCACATGAAAAGTGTCCCCATTGCGTATATCTTACAAAGATGTGACATTGATGAACTTGTTTATCTTTACTCTAAGGTACGTAGATCCTAAATACTTAATCATGTTAAACACGTTTGTGAACATGTCACGTTGAGTACGTGAAGACAGTATCCTAAAATGTTGAAATAGATGACAAGTGTTAACAGATCTAAACAACAATCTAACATAAGCTTCCTCGGTTTGAGATTTTCTTATGTTGTTGCAAAATAAAATCAGTAAATTGAACAAAGTTAAATTTATTGATTATTGCAATTATAATATAGCATACATGTATTAAGCCATATCAATGATTAAAATACAAGAGGGGAAGTGATAAAAATAGATTATCTTTATTCTTTATTGCTAACAAGTTTCTACAACCATACAAAGTTTAAAGATTCTGTGGTCTTCACCAACACAGGGTCTAAGAAATAAATAAAAAGTTTAAAAAAATTATTATCAACTAGCCTTTCTCCCAAATTAACAAGCCGAGATTTTCTCATTTCCCTTAGATTTTATTTTTGTTTTATAGATTATTTACCCGAAAAAAGTGCTTCCTAATTTTTAGGTGATAATAAGGAGTAAACTATAACGGATAATGTGGAACATCCAAAACAATGGCTTCAAGAGGGATTTGAATTACGTAGAGTCACAAATCCCACACAATCAGCACAACAGTGCCAGCTAATACTTTCTTTTAGCACGGTGTGATCTCGATCCAACGACAACTGATATGGTGACTGCATGAGTGCATGAATTTGTGACTGCAACAAACTCAAATCCCTTCAAGAGATTGGTTCCACCTTTAGCTCTACTATCTTTTACCCATATTAGCAAATCTTCTAGCGACACCAAATAAAAGATACTTGGTCAACAACCCCTTGTCAAGACTACAAGCAAGAGCAACAGCACCGCCAATGACTAGCATCTTCGGTACATTCACGCCCTTTGGTTTGTCAGAAGTGATTGCACTTTCGATTTGTGATATATCATCCGAGGATCCAATGGATTGCAAGTACTCGGGACTTATTTTTGTGTTGACACTGGCCATAAAAGCGGACCGAGAGAGTGGAGCTCCAGAAGCTTTTGCTTCTTGATAAGCGCGCAAGCCAGGCTCAATCTTCTGTACTGTTCCCCACATACCTTTTCTTACTCCAAGCTTTGCAAGTTCCCATGGAATTCCCATTTCTTCGTGATGGAAGAGTAAAACTTCACATGCAGTCAATTGGCCATTACCTCTTTTTGATTCAACTGTCAAGAAAAACACCGTAAGATCATTGATCAGCCATAAGTCCATAACAAGTCTTGGTGGTGAATGAATGACTAGATTAACAAAAAATTAAACTCTTGCGCAAATTACACCTTGATTAATAAAGTTAATAAAACAAACCTGCTCGAATGCACCAGCTAGAGTAATACACGTCAACGCGTCTGGGTTTGTCTTGTCTTGGGATTGAAGGACAATCTACTCCCTAAAACGAACGAAAAAATGTAAGAACAACACTAATTATACAGCGCAGAATTTGACTATCCTCGATCAATGTCTTCAAATATTCAAGACAACAAAAAGTGAATCTTCTTCAAGTACCTTTGTAACACAATAGTAGGACCTCCCACATTCCCATATTCTTCGTCCGATAACATAGTCTCTGTCGTTACAGAAGAAGGGGAACTGTAACACAGATAAACAGCACCCATAAGCAAATGAAAACAGATACAAAACACATCAAAAAACAAGACTTAATAAATCAATTTAAAAGGTTTTGCACCTTTCGAACCCAATGCACTTTCATTGTTCCAGTAGTAGGGCACTCTTCTAAGGTTGTCGAGTTAATAAGCATATCATCCCACTTAGGCCGGAATTGATCATCCCAGAATAAATCCCTCACAATCTCAGGAGTAGCATCTTCAAAAATAGTACTGCTTCGATATTGGGGAGGCCCATCCTATCAAACCAACAACACAAAAATCAGCAATTGTAACAAACCAAAAATTATACATATAGTCATTAGAAACAAAACCATAACTCAACATACCTTTGGTTCTCTACGCCACGCCTGGTAACTCAAAGTCGGAGTAGACCGATCCATCATATGTATCCAAGGGAGCCCTCCATCTTTCTCCTCCACAAGCTTGTATAAATGATGCAAATCATCAATCGTAACACCATTTGAAGTATCTTCACTGGAACTCGGTGTACTGCAGGGTCAAACAAAGTCAAAATTTAGTCAACAACACACCATTTCCAAACAAATATCCAAAATTTCAAACCAAACTTTCATTGCCGCGAGTAATTGCATAGCATAACAGAAAAAAGCACCGTCATAAAACAAATTATAGATTAACTTAACTTGGGAATTAACAAATAAACTAACATTCAACATCTAACATTTTCAAAAAGGTAGCAATTATCAAATAAATAATCATCTAAAATAATAAAATAAAATGAAGAAAAAAAATACCTGGAGGAAGTATCATATTGGGTGGGGGTTGAGGAAGATGAAACCTTTATATTGACGTGTTTATTAATACCCAAAGAATCAGGGTTGGGAGTTTGCATTGTAATAGAAGAATTAACAGAGGAAGAATAGAATTTCAAAGGGGAAAACACAGGAGAACCAGAAGGTGAAACAAAATCAAAAGACTTAGCCAATTTGTCTTTCCCTGTGCTAGCCCAATCTGGTTTCCATAACCAACCAACAATAACCCCTAAGAAAAACACTAGGCACGTAGGAGTAAAAAGCATGTTGGTCGCTGCAGAAAAACCCCAAATTACAGGGTTTGCCATAGCTGCTGGAGAATATAATCGAGGAGAGAAATAAGAGGTGGAATTGATAAAGACGTGAAGGGTAGAATTTAGAAAGAGGATAAGAGGGTTTGGGTTTTGGTTAGAGGGAGAATAGAAATAAACGAATGAGGGTTAGGGAATTGGTGGATACGTTGAAAAGAGATAATTAAAATAAGAGTTTGGGTTTGGAAGAAGGTATGAAAGGGGGAATAAAAAGAGCGGTGAGAAACGAGTGATGTTAGCGTGTTGTGGACTTGTGATGTTGATGTTGGAATTCAAACCGAGGTTTTTGAATTACACGGTGTGTGTTTGTTTGATGGTTTGGTTGTTTTGGGGAATTGGAAGGGAAAGAAAATGAGTTTAGAGCGGTGTTGTGGTGGGTGAGGTATAAAGCCAGTGGGAGTACTAGTTCTTTTTATATACTCATTCGCCCTTTTCCTGCACCTTGTTTTCCACGTTCACTTTGTTTTTTCACGCGCAACTAACTATGTCAAATTTATTTTGACATTTTTACTACTATAATCTTTCACTTAACAATATTCTATTTTTATTTTATCTTTTCCATTTATTTATTTTTTTCTTAACATGTGTCAACTCATTATTTTAGAACAAATGAAGTATTCGTTGTTATATCAGTATTATTAATATTATCATACATATAAATTGTGGTGCAGATCTCACCTATGCACGCATTTGGTGCATTGCATCGGTGATCATTCGATCAAGATCAAATAGATTATATTAAATTTTATATTTTATATTATAATACAATAATTAAAATATGTGTTTTTTTGAACAATCAGATTTCAATTAAACAGTCATTAATTTAACGAATATGTGAATTATATACCGTAGTAAATTTGCATGCTATAAATTGTAAATTGAGAGATATATTAAATTATGGATATTGCATAGAGTATTGTACTACACTCCATTGTTCCTTTTTATAAAGTTTGTTTGACAATTTTGCTTGTATTATAAATTTGTTCTTTGAATAGATTAGTCATTTTTATTGGTGCATAAGATTAATAAATGAAGAAAATATAAGAGAGACAGAGAGAGAGAGTAATATTAAAATTCTGCAATGACGACTATAAAATTGTAAGGAATAATAATTGAGCAATAATTGTTGTTAATGTTACTGTTATAAATGACAGTCACTACTAATCAATTTATATACAAAGTAAATTATCACGTAGGCTCTAATAAAAGGTAAACTTAATGACTAAGTTAAAAGGTACAAACTAGAAAAGACTAAACTTAACAGTTACGCTAAGAAACTCGGAACCCAGAAGCTGAGCTGAACATACTTCTGGACGTAACCTCAGAAGTTTTTGCTTCTGACTAACAACAACTTCTTAATATATCAAACTACTGCTTCTAACTAAGCAGTCTCAGAAGCTTACAGCTTCTGACTAACAACCTCAGAAGTTATACTGCTTTTGAGTAACACTGATTCTACCAACAATTTCTGAATATGAATTACTTCCAACACCATCCCTTAGTTCAGATTCAGCTAACAAAAAAAACTACAACATCAATTTCATCCCTCAAATGGATAAGGTGTTCAGTCTTGACATCCTTCGTCAGAACATCTGCAAGTTGCTTTTGGTTGCTACAGTGTGCAACTTCTAATATTCCATTTAGAAATACAGATTTCACCTTGAAGATCCATCTGATGCTGATATTTTTCTTCTCCTTCGAAAGCTCAGTTAACTCTCAAGTATTGTTTCTTTCAATAACATCAAGCTCTTCTTTCATGGCTTTCAGCCACACTTTCTTCTTGAGAGTTTCACAAGTTGACAACGCAACCACCAGTTGCTTCTTGGAGCACCAACAAATAGGACTTTTTAGATACAAACAAAAATATCCAGAAATATTTCTTCTGTCAACTCTGTCTTCATACCAATCAGAGTCTGGATAGCATATCAGCTCCACATCTGATCTAACACTAGAAGAGAATAACACTTCATACCTCAGAGTCTCTTCAGTATCTTGCAGCTTGTCAAACTCTGCAGATCTCCTTGGTATATTTCTGATTCGTTGTGGCCTCTGGACTTGTTCTGAATCTCTCTATGATTCTGGAACAATATCTCATTCTAGACTTTCTTCATAGGTTTGACTACTACCAGAAGCTACACCTTTGCTAACTCCTAGACTTTGTTCAGAACCACTACCTTCAGAAGTATTGCCTTCAAAATCATGACCATCGTCAGAGGCTGGACTACCTTAAGAAGCTCCTCCTTCAGAAGGTACACCTTTAGAAACATGATTTACACCAGAAACATGATCATCTTCAGAAGCTTGTCCTCTAGAACATACATCTTTAGAGTTTTCCCTTCTAGAAGCATGACCACCATCAGATTCAAAATATGGATCAAAATCAGATTCACCATCTGACTCATCTTTAGAGTCTCCAGAATATTCTTCATCCTCTGACTCATCTTCAGAAGCAAAATCTCCTTCAGATTCTGACTCATCTTCTGATTCTCTTTTACATTCATAATCATCTTCAGATTCTAACCTGTCTTCAGCTTCAGAGTCATCTTCTAACTCTAAGCCATCTTCAGAAACTTCAGATTCTGACTCAACTTCAGAATCTTCAGCGTCATCTTCTGATTCTGACTCATATTCAAACACCTCTTCAGAGTCAGAATATTTAGAGTCATCTTTTTCCCCTTCAGAATCAGAAAATGACAATTTCACAGGTTCCTCATCAGATTCATAAGCCATTAATAGCACAAGTTCATCATCAGAATATCCTCTGGTCTATTTTTGCTTCTTCTTTGTTTGGCTAATAATCTTTAGCAAAGTGGCCAATCTGCTTACAATAATAACACTGAACCATTCTCCTGTCATACTTCTTATTTCCCTTCTGATGTTTTTTTCATCATAATAGAAGACTTCTGACTTCTGAGACCTACCATGTTTTCTCTGCTTCTGGTCCTTCTTGACAAAAGAAGCTTTCAGAGTCTGCTCAACTTCCCTCTCAGAAGTTCTTTCAATCAGACGTAACTCTCACGCCTCTAGACTGCTTTGCAACTCTTCTATTCTCATGGTGTCCAGGTCTTTAGAATGTTCAATTGCTACAACAATATAATCAAATTGAGGAGTAAGCGACCTCAATACCTTCTCTATGATTACTTGTTCATAAAGGGTTTCTCCACAAGCTTTCATCTCATTAGTGATCAAAATCACTCTAGAGATGTACTCAGAAACCTTCGTGTTGTCCTTCATGTTGAGATTCTCATACTGCTTTCTAAGAGACTGAAGTTTCACCTTCTTCACTGATGTGTCACCACTGTAACACCTACTCAGTGTGTCCCACGCAGCCTTCGCTGTCGTCGAATCATCAATTTTCTCAAACACGTTCACATCCATACACTAGTGGATGAAGAACAATGCCTTCTAACCTTTCTTCCTTGTATCTCTCTGTGCATTTCTCTGTTCCTCCGTCGCATCTGCTGCAACTGAAACATAACCATTTGTAACAAGTTCAAGAACATCCTGAGCGCCAAACAACACACGCATCTGAATTATCCAACAATTCCAATTTTTGCCATTAAATATTGGAAGCTTGATGCTTAGACAAATATTTTCGATCATCTTCAGCCTTGTACAGAACACTCAGATCTCACAAACACAGTATTTTGTGATCCCACAGAATCAGAAAAATGTGATTTTGTTCAAGATTCAACACAAATTCAAGAATCAAAATTAATCACACAACGCCTCACCGTTTCACTCGTGTTTTTCGTGAATCCAACCAGAGCTCTAGATACCAATTTGTTGGTGCACAAGGTTAATAAATTAAGAAAATACAAGAGAGAGTAGTATTAAAGCTCTACAATGACGGCTATAAAGTTATAAAGAAGAATGATTGAATAACTATTGTTGTTACTATTACTGTTACAAATGATAACTACTACTAGTCTATTTATACACAAAATAAATTTCCACGTAGGCCCTAATAAAAGGTAAACTTAATGACTAAGTTAAAAGGTACAAACTAGAAAATATTAAACTTAACAGCTACGTTAACAAACTCAGAACCCAGAATCTGAGTTGAACATACTTCTGAACGTAACCTCATAAGCTTCTGCAATTGACTAATAACAACTTCTTAATATATCAAACTACTGCTTCTATTTAAGCAGTCTCAGAAGCTTACAACTTCTGACTAACAACCTCAGAAGCTCTACTGCTTCTAACCAACACTGATTCTACCAACAACTTATGAATATGAATTACTTCCAACAATTTTTATTAATGTGAACCTCGCCTAAGTAATAGTTATGTGTAATATGATTATTCTCTCATATTATTATTATAAACAGTAAAAAAAAATCTTAAATTTTGACCACTATAATAAATAAAAGTCATTAACTTTTAGATTAATAAATATTTGTATTACTATTATATATTTAATTTAATTTAAAAATATTTAATATTGGTAGTTGATTTATCAAATATAATTAAAGATATTATAATAAAATTTAATTTAATTGTCCAAGAGCACTTGAATAAGATGACGAGAGTCTCTTTCGTTTTAACTAGAGATCTTAAATTCGATTTAGACTTTGACAAACAGCAGTATTAAATCTCTTTAAAAAATTTGTTAGTATTATAATTCTTCAAAACTCGAAGGATTATCAAATTAAAAAATTGTGGTGCAGATCCCACCTATGCACGCATTTGATGTATTGCATCGGTGATCATTCAACCAAGATCAAATAGATTATATTATATTTTATATTTTATATTATAATACAATAATTAAAATATGTGTTTTTTGAACAATCAGATTTCATTTAAACAGTCATTAATTTAACGAATATTTGAATTATATACCGTAGTAAATTTGCATGCTATAAATTGTAAATTGAGAGATATATTAAATTATGGATATTGCATAGAGTATCGTATTACACTCCATTGTTCCTTTTTATAAAGTTTGTTTGACAATTTTGCTTGTATTATAAATTTGTTCTTTTAATAGA